ACATGGTTCAATTTTATTTCAATAATTTGCTTGCGCGTAGGGGTCTTTAGCAGTGGGAAGAAACCGGTGGAACCGGAGAAAACCACAAGGTTAGACAGGCGACCCTACTCCTTGTCACTTACAACCGAGGAATCAAAACCACACCAGTTGACTCGATGACAGACCTTTTGATAAAGCGCGCACATGCTAACCATTTGCCCATCCAACCCCCCCTTCAGAAAGAGAACAATTTATAATACCATGTTGTGGAACCGCCTACATGTATATTTCATTCCGAAATAAAGATTTTGATATTTAAAATTATTAACCCCATTTCTATTTTCAAAGCAAAGCTAATACAAAATTGAATTTCTACTATAAACATTAGATGAGGCAAAACATCTTAAAAGTTTAAACATTAGATGAGGCAAAACATTGTTAAAATTTAAACATTAGATGAGGCTAAACATCTTAAAAGTTTAAACATTATATGAGGCAAAATATCTTAAAAGTTTAAACATTAGATGAGGCAAAACATTGTTAAAATTTAAACATTATATGAGGCAAAATATCTTAAAAGTTTAAACATTAGATGAGGCAAAACATTGTTAAAATTTAAAGCTTTGATGCTGAAATACAATTCTGGAAAGATATACATATAAATATATAACAAACTTTAAAAATATATCACAGAGTTTAACAAAACATATACAACTAAGCAAAGCCTGGCACTGACCAACACAGTTTTGATTTCAAACAAACGAAATTCATGCAGTATTATTCCTTCAAAGCTTAAAATGAGATATTTTTTAAAGCATACTATCTTTTAATTGGTTAAGAATTGAAAACTTGTCAGCCAATAAAAAGGCAGATCTAAAGAAGAGTAAATGAACTCCTGTCCAATGAAAAGGCACAAGTCATGAATTACCTTAGTTTAAATCTGAAAGAAGTCAGGCCTGAAACATGTGCTTGGAAGTTAGGCCACACACTAGTTTGATTTTCTGTTCTTTAGGCTCTTGATAATTTAATAGCTACTTAAATCATGTGAAAGATATTTTGTTTATATTTCAAAACATAGAAATTTGGAACTAAAAGATTTTGAAAAGTGCAACCAAGTACTTTTGGAGAGAGAAATGGGGTTTAACGTCCACTCGACACAAACTAGGTCATTTTGGGACTAAGACATGGTTCGATTTTATTTCACGTAAGGTTCTTTAGCAGCAGGACGAAACCGGAGGACCCAAAGAAAACTCACAAGTTTGGACAGGTGAACCTACTCCTTGTCACGTACAAGCAGGAAAAATCACAACTGTGCCACTTGACTCAATGACAGACCTTATATGATAAAGCATGCACATGCTAACCAATCAGCCATCCAACCTCTCCGCAAGTACTTTTAGTGGTTTTGGTTTTTTTCCTGAACAAACAAGAAGGAAAATTTTTACAGGTGTTCTCGAAGAACAGAAAAAACAATTTGGTAAGGCCTTATACAATTCTAATTATCACAGATTCAATGAATAACATACAATAATAACAAATAATATACCACTCAGACAGACGGCTATTTTTAATTAGTGTGTTTAAATCTAAAGCCGAACAGAGTTTAACATTCACATGTAAGTAAAATATCCTTCCTATAACGTCACTTAAAGATACATTATTCAAGAGCTAAATTTGCCCAAGTCCTAGGCAATTCTTGAGATATTTTTTTTTAAACATACATCATTCAAGAGCTAAATCTGCCTATTATGCAGGTCTTTCTTTAGGGCTTAAATGCTATTTAAATTATTAATTAGACATTTATTAACATGACAACAGCATAATCAATTCTCGATGCCATACGATGCTCGAGATTTTAACTAGATTAGAACGGTTTGGCCATTCAATGATTTAATTTAAAAATGGAGAAGTGAGGCCAAGACTCAAATATACCAGTACCGTGGTTACGATAATAAACAATCAATGCACACATCTTGTCAAAACTACAAACAGTGATAACTTGTCTCAGAATGAAGTAATTTGAATGAAATTTTTGATGTATTCATTTTGCATTATCTATTTTTGAACTATTATAGCGAGAACAGCCAGCTATTTATTTAAACCTTACATAATGCGTCTTTCAAAGTCCGAGTGAATTACTAATTTCAAGGTCAGAATGAATTATCCATATATCCACAAGATCATTGATTCTTCAAAAGGAGATCAAATGTGCATCTGCAATAATAGCTATTGTATTAACTGCCCACATGGAAAATAAAAATTATCAATTTGATCGTTAAATTTTAAAATCTCGCAGGTGTTCTAATTCATTTAAATCTCGGCCATCTGTTGGTCTAGAGAGTTGATTATAGGCTTGACATGTGAATAAATGAAATGAAATGAAATGGGGTTTAACATCCTACTGTTCTGCTCCGAACTGGGAATACGTAATACAGTGTGCTATGAGGGATATTTTGCCTGGACAGCGGCACTACTGCCTACTCTTATATCGAATTCCAACTGTCAAAGGATCTTTTACGTGCACGCCAATGTGTACACGGGACCTCGGTTTTTCGTCACATCCGCACGACTAGACAGCTGTCCTTGTCAGGCCCTCTGTCCTGCATCACTGACAAAGGGAACCACGCCGGAAAATCTGGATGAACTTTCTCGACCAATGCAGGGATCGAACAACCGACCTCCAGGCTAGCGAGCCAGGGTCTTACCCACTTAGCCACCGTGTTATGTGAATAAATGTCTAAATAATAATTTATATAACATCTGAAGCCAACATGAAGACCTGCAATAGGCAGATTTGACTCTTATATAATGTATCTTTAAGCCAGGAGAGTTAACATTCACATGGACTTTAATGGCTGGGGATTTTAATCCAGCTTAAATTTGCTATCTGAATAAATTATGATACAAACGATTCAAAACATTTAATACAAATAAACAAAAGATTAGGATAAGGCAAAATGGTGATAATACATTCTGATAAAATGCATCTAATAATTGTGGCATTTAGCGTTTGAGTCTGATAAAAAAAAACACAACACAATTTATATGGGAATCAATCATGGATTTGTACACATAAAGCATGAAGATTCAACAAGTGCATCCTCGATATTCCCAGTGGTCATAGACCTAGTTCTGTTCCACTCTACTAACGCCTGGGTTCCATGGTGAACCATTAGGGGAGACACTTATTCAAATTGTCTGCCCTTGATGATTGTGCTATTTTTATTGACCAATCAAAAAAATAGTTAAATACAAAGGAAGTTGGTCAAGGGAAGTAACTCTCACCTTGTTCCAACAAAACAAGCTGCCATATTGTTGTGGATGTAAGCAATGAGGCTAAGACTGGTTTGTAAACTGTTTTTTGATTAGTTTGTAGAACAAAGCTATGACCAAGGGCAGATAATTTGAATACGATGAGAGAGAGAGAGAGAGAGAAATGGAATTTAACGTCCACTCAACACAAACTAGGTCATTTCAGGACTAACATGGTTTTATTTTATTTCAATAATTCGCTTGCAGTGGGAGGAAACCGGAGGACCCGGGGAAAACCCACGAGGTTGGACAGGCGACCCTACTCCTTGTCACGTACAACTGGGGATTTGAAACCATGAATACAATGAACACATGGTAGAACAGAATGAGATCACTGAGGATACTGAGGATGATCGTTCTGATAAATAATTTAGTGACATTTAGCAATCGAGAAACACATTGGTTGATTCCCATAAAAATTGTGTTCTGTTAATACGATCAAAATTGCTTTAATATTTATGAATAGTGGTGCTAAATTTGATCCATAAAATTTAATAAAATAAATACTTTTGGATAAGCAAATTTATCACAAACGGATATTAACTAATTGCCGACACTATTAGGTCTCTAAGTACTGGTCATAACCCATTTTCAATAATGGACTGATCTTTGGTCAATATTAAATTAATACTTTTGAATTTGTCCATTTGTCACAAAGGGATATTAACTTGTAATTTAGGACCGTAACCCATTTTCAATAGTGGACTATTCTTTGGTCAGTATAAAATTAATACTTTTGGATCTGTCCATTTGTCACAAAAAGGGGTAATAACATAAAACAGACACACTTAAATTTCATATAGTAAGAAACCCATAAGAGGGTAACTTGCCTTGATGAAATGGACGGACTATTTGATAGGGCATAAAATACAAAATCGATTAATAAGACAAAACTAAAAACATCGAAAATTAAGACTAATCCTAACAATCTAATTCACACACACACATCAAATTATTGCGCTGATGGAATAAGAAAATGGTGATATATTTCCATTTAATTTACCATGTTCTATCTGCGGTGTCGACCTCAAAGTTGAATAACGCTTGGGGTCCAAAAACTGTCTACCATTATAATGTGCCTAAGTGGGGACTGTCTCAACACTTGTGTCTAAGGAAATAATCTGTAGAAACAGGTGAGTGGGTTGAATATATGCGCGGATAGAATATGTTAATTAAACGTTGATTATTTTTAGTCTCTTACTGGCATCAAAATGCATCTGTGTCACCATTTATGTAGGTTCGGTGTCGTTTAACCCACCCACACAAGACCGTGGGTTATTGGTTTGGATGCAAGTGTTGAAATTTTGTGTCGGTTCTTAACACTGTAACACAGGTATCATTTAATCTTGTGTATCTAGCACTAATTTCTTTCACATTCATTCAATATCAAATCTTTGTTTAAAAATTCGTAAAAACTGTTTAAAATCACCATAAATCGTTTAATTTGTACTTCTGTCCAGTTTAAAGCTGACGATTCAATTTTGATAATGAGTGTCCAATTTACAAGTGTTTAATTTCTCAATCACTGTTAAAAAATAAACAACCCAATTGATTAATGATGTATAATGATTAATTTTTGAACAGTGATCAGGAAATTAAATACTTGTAAATTGGACACTCATTATCAAAATTAATCAGTCAGCTTTAAACTGGACACAAGTACAAATTACATGACGTGGGGTGATTTCAAATGAATTTTACGAATTTTTGATATTGAATGAATGTGAAAGAAATTAGTGCTAAATACACAAGATTTAATGATACCTGGATTACAGTGTAATCTATAATGAATAATGGAGCGGAAAATTAATCAATTTGACTAAAATCTCCACAAGTACTTTATGCAAAAGTTCACAATAATTATATAGGCCTGTGGTGAAAGATTACAGACAAGGTCACGGCCGTCTGAACACATGGCCACCCTGGGCAATTGCCTGCGGGGCTCCACGAGCAAAGGTGCCTCATGCTAATCTATGTATATTGTGACACTGATTTTGTTTTAAGTACCAATACAATAAATTTATCCACCATTTACATTTGAAGAGCCCCAGGGAAGAATGATCATAGTCACTTTTTCAACGAACCCCAATTAATGGTGCCATCTGGTAGCAAATTGTATAAGCTTTCTGTGGAACAAACTATTTTGGGTAAAAACAATCAAAGTCGCATCGAACCAAGGCCCTTCTGAAATGGCCTCCCGGAAAAATACAAGTCAATTGTATTTATTTGACCTTAATTTGGCTAAAAAGTTGAAGTCAGTTGTTGTACTCGTAATTATGATTCGTATTAAACATCATTTAGAAGTTGTAATTAAGCCCAAGTTGTTCTGTTCGCATCAAGCATTCTCGTCCAAAAGTCTTTTATGCGAAAAGACAAAAAAAGTGACTTACATCGTTCTTCCCCTTTTGTGTAAGCAGGGGCTCCAGTTCACTACTTTGCCCCAGGGCCTATAATGCTGTTAAGATGCCCCTGTCAAAGATGAAATTTGAATTTTTTCTTTTAAAATAATACAATATCAATACACCCAATTATAAAACATGATGTCCCAGTAAAATATAAATAATTTATTTAGCTTTGCTCGTTTTTTCTACACTTTTCACACATTCGTTGACTGCTTTTTTCGAACCAGGCGTATTCTGAAGATAAGCGAAGTATGTGCTTTTCATATGCTGTCTATTAACGGGATGGACTTCGTTTAGTTTATCAAGGTCCATTCGATAGAAATCTTGTTTAGTCTTCTCGTAATCTTCTTCAACCTTCTTGGTAGCATTTGCGCTGTATTTTTGACGAAGTTCTTCTCTGAAAATTTAAAGAAAATTGAGAGATCAATATACAATGGGTGGAATGTTCAAATTGACTGGGTGGCAGCCAGGTGCCCCATATTAGTTCTAAAAATATATTGGCACCATATATAAATACGTCATTTATTATGTTGTATATATAAATCTATCTATACAAAATTGCAAGGGCTAAATCTGCCTATTGCAGGTCTTTCTTTACCATATTAACACACTACAACTTGGGTAGCTGTTTTAGCAGGAGTTTCTGTATTTAATGTTTAGTTTCAAACCATTGTGAGAGAGAGAGAGAGAGAGAGAGAGAGAATGGGTTTAAGATCCACTCAACACAAACTAGGTCATTTCCAGACTAACACATGATTCAATTTTATTTCAGGCGACCCTACTCCTTGTCACAACCATTCGGCCATCCAACCCCCCACCAATGTTAGAAAAATGTTCAAATCTGTTGAGAATCATAGAAAACCTTTGGGATTCTACCGTCGCTTAGTAATGGTCTGTCTAGATTAGGGGTCAAGGTGGCTAAGTGGGTAAGACGTTGGCTTGCTAGCCTGGAGGTCAGGTGTTCGATCCCTGTATTGGCTGAGAAAGTTCATCCAGATTTTCTGGCGTGGTTCCCCCACTTGTCAGTGATGCAGGACGGAGGGCCTGACAAGGACAGCTGTCTAGTCGTTTGGATTGGATGATAAACCGAGGTCCCGTGTACACATTTGGCGTGCAGGTAAAAGATCCCTTGACAGTTGGAATTCGTTATAAGAGTAGGCCGTAGTGCCGCTGTCCGGGCAATATTTCCTTCATAGCACACTGTATGGCGTGTGTCCGTCTTCATTAGCCCAGTTCAGAGCAGAACCGTAGGACGTTAAACCCCATTTCATTTCTGTCTACATTAGATAATGACTGTTGGATTTATAACTGTTTATTTTCTGAAAAGGTGTTGAGTAATTAACAGGCTAATTAATTACTCAACACTGCTCCAGAAACTAAACAAGGGAATTATTGATTTAAAATTGAACCACATGTTAGTCCCAAAATTCCAGTCTCTTACCGTAACATAGGAACATCACTATAATATAATTGTTTATTCGCTAAGTCAGCCGTTTCTAAGGTAACAACAGGGTACTTGGGTAGTCTTGTACTTCCTTCCTTTTTACCTTTCTTTGCTCGTTCTTGTATTTTCTTACTGAAATTTAAGGTTAAAACTTAAAATTAAATTTGTGGTTAGAAATATAAAATACAATGAAAATTCTTAATCAAATTTTTAATTAAAGTGACAATTTGATTTATAATAACTTTTTAATGCTTTATCCCATTTTTTATAACTTGTTAACTTAATTGGAGGGTTGGATGGCTGAATGGTAAGCACGTGCGCGCTGTATCATAAAGTCTGTCATTGAGTCAGCTGGCGTGGTTTCGAATCCCCTGTTGTACGTGACAAGGAGTAAGGTCGCCTGTCCAACCTCGTGGGTTTTCTCCAGGTCCTCTGGTTTCATCCCACTACTAAAGACCCTTATGCGCAAGCGAATTATTGAAATAAAATTAAACCATATGTTAGTCCCGAAATGACCTAGTTTGTGTCGAGTGGACGTTAAAGACCCCATTTCTCACTCTCTCTTATAACTTAATTAAACATACATTATGCAAGAGCGAAATCTTCCAATTGCAGGTCTTTCTTTAGGCCTGGAATGTTATCTAAATTATTAATTAGACATTAATTACTTTATCCAGACCATAATCAACTCTTAATGGCATCGCTAGCCTACGATATTTACTGGATTATGATCCCATTTGCTGCTCGACTTCCATTCACAATTAAATCATGAAATGGATGATCGAGACTATGTTTTTTATCCTACAGACTTTAGAAATGATGATTGAGGCTAGACCATAATTTCAATCGCTTAATTCTCGGTTCATAGTGAAACAATTTGACTGAGATTTTCAGCAAATTGCCTTTACATATCTAGTTTTTAACTATTATAGTGAGAACTGCCAGCTCTTTATCTTATCTCCCATAATGTATGTTTAAATCAACCAGTCCATATATCAATTATATCATGTACAATGTATCAGACGTTAAATTTGCAGTAAACAACAACAACAACAACATCTTAATCATATGAATATGGCAAGTGGTATCAGCTGTTCTATGAAGAGCAAATATCACTGCTTATAGTGAAATCTTTAGTTATGACATAGATAATAACAATATTTAAGTGCTTAAATGGCGGTGATTAGTGTCCAATATGAAAAAGTTTGCAAGGACAACAAGTTTGCAGAGTCTACGGCTCTGATAACACAATGCTAATTACAAAAATAATTATTTAAAAACTTACTCTTTCTTAAGTTGTTTTTCCTGTCTATTAACTGGTTTAGATTCTATGACTGGAAGAACCGACTGATCCATAGCCAAGTTCTTCCAGGGATCTATTAAACCAATGGCCGTACATCTACTCGTATAGGCATGCTGTAATTCTTCTGGCTGTAATGAAACCATAAATTAATCAAACTCTTTACATTAAGATCCACAAACTTCCGTAAAAGTTGAGAGGTGTGAGCACTGGTAATATAGGTGCAATGCTAGTGGATGCAATTTGTTTGAACTTGAAGTCGGAAAGGTTCTTGTTAAACAGACAGGTCTACTTAAATTCACTTTATTTTAAAGGGAGGGAAATGGGGAGAGAAATGGGGTCTAACGTCCATTTGACACAAACTAGGCCATTTTGGGCCTAACATATAGTTCATTTCATTAATTGCTGTGGGAGGAAACTGGAGGACTCAGAGAAAACCCACGAGGATTGGACAGGCGACCCTACTCCTTGTTACGTACAAGCATGGAGTTGACTCAATGACAGAAATGAAATGAAATGGGGTTTAACGTCCTACTGTTCTGCTCCTAACCTGGGCTAATGAAGACGGGCATAACCCATACAGTGTGCTATGAGGGAAATTTTGCCCTACTCTTATATCGAATTCCAACTGCCAAGGAATCTTTTACGTGCACGCCAATGTGTACACGGGACCTTGGTTTTCCGTCCCATCCGAACGACTAGACAGCTGTCCTTGTCAGGCTGTCCCTCCAGCACTACTAACAAGGGGAATCCACTTTGGAAAATCTGGATGAACTTTCTTGGTCAATGCAGGGATCGAACACCCGACCTCCAGACTAGCGAGCCAGCGTCTTACCCACTTAGCCACCATGGCTGTTATTGATTAAGGACAGATGTTAATGTATATAACTAACTTACTGTTTCTATTAAATATCTGGCCGTATACGTATCATAGTAAGGTGCTAGATCATTAAATATATACGGTGTATGTTTTTTTCTGAAAAATAAAAAATAATGATATAAACTTTAACACATTCATTTTTAATATCAAAAATAATTCAGTCTGCATACATGAACATGACTTTACAGACTATCTTATCATAAAATCACCTCATCTCCATGTAAAATAGTTTGGTTAATACTGCCAAAAATTAATCAAATTAACAAGCGATTTCCATGCCCACATTTTGCAAGAGATGAACAGAGAACAAGCTAAAAAAGTGTTTTATGTACAATCAGGTGCCATAATCCAGTATGTTACGATCCAACATGTGTCAATATCGAAAGGAACCAAGATCTTTGGGATATAAAAATATATTTTAAGTTTAATCAAACTTGGATAAAAATTGTGACCTCTAGAATGTCCACAAGGGAAAAACGTGATTTTTCGTATAATCCATGAAGTCCATGCCAATATCGAAATGAACAGAGATCTTTGGGATATAAACCTACATTTCAAGTTTCGTCAAAATCGGATAAAAATTGTGACCCATAGAGTGTCCACAAACAAAATGTGAACAAAAGGACAGGGGTGACAACAAATTACGTCCACATGAAAATGTGGGAGTATAAAAATCATTTTTCAAGGGAGAGAACTCCAAGACTAAGAGTGTCATTTTGTTGTTTGGTAACTGGTTACAGTTAAATATAGAGAGAGGATTCAAGTCCACTCAACACAAACTAGGTCATTTTGGGACTAACATTGTTAAATCTTACTTAAAAAATTTGCTTGCACGTAGTGAGAGGAAACTTGAGGACCTGAAGAAAACCCACGAGGTTGGACAGGTGACCCTGCTCCTTGTCACGTACAACCGGGGAATCGAAACCACGCCAGTTGACTCAATGACAGGCCTTATGATACAGCGTGCTAACCACAGAAGAAGAAGAAGAATATGCCACACATATTTATAGGACAGTTCGCATCCATGTGATGATATCATGTGCAGAACGAGATCGAGTAACAGTTTACAAATTATATATAGTACTGCAATCATTGTTGTCAACTTACTGAGAAGGCTTTTGTATCTTGGAAGACTCTTTTTTTAAATTTTCTTCTATCCTCGTCAACTCACGTCTAAAGAATTCTCGTTGTTCAGCACGGCCATCAGAAGAATCTAAACGTGAAATAAATGTCTAAAAGTTAATAAATAATAAATGCCAACAAAAAATTAAATAATTTAAAGAAATACAACAATGAACAAACTTAATATTAATATTTATTTTGGTCTGTTTCCATGGCGAAGCCCGCTCCACCCCCACCTCCATCTGGTGGACCTAAAAGATTAATTTTTCATTTATCTAGCCTTGAGTCAATTTCCCCCTTTCTGATCATTGATGCCAAGTTGCAATCATTTCTATTGACCGACATCCTTATCAAGGCATATTTCAGTGGAAAATTTTGAAAATCCTGTCATTAACCTATTTTTTAGTCTAAGACTATTTTCAAGCCCATGGTAAATATTTTTATAATGTTCAATATGCTTTGCCTTGGACTGCCTTATAAACCTTGCTATGCTTTCTACTTCAAATTAAACCTTGCTATACATTCTACTTCAAATTGACTACCTATAAATTAAAATTTGCTATGCTTTCTACTTGAAATTTTGAAATGTTTTTCCAACATAAAATCAATCCGACTAAACGAGAAAACATGACAAAGCAAAAATCAAAAGACCATACTCAGACAAAACCTAATCAATAATTTGTTAAATCAATTTGGTTTGTCACAGTTTTTTTTTAAAAAAAAAATAAAGGAGATAAAAACTACTACTGATAGTTAGATAAAGGGTGCAGTTAGTTTTGTTAGAGAAAAAAATAGTATAGACGCTGATTGTTGAATGATAAAGGCTAGAAAAGCCTAATGCTATGTTCCCACTATAACGATTCATGCTACGATTCAAATCTTGATTTCATCATGGAGTAATCGTGGTGATCCTATCAGGTCTTATCATATATTGAGGTCAGTCGTAACAATCGGGTTGGTTGAAATGAAACATATCCAAACGTATGTGCACGTAGTAGATCGCGGACTCAATGGAGAATATCCTATCGTAATGCATCGCATGACAGTGTGAACCTAGCATAGTCAAAACATCACTCAGTAATAATAAACAGTAAATGTATTCAATAGAATTGTGACCTGTATATCTCTGATCGTTACTTTAGAGATTTTTAATTCCCTGGCAAACTACAATACTTTAAAAGTTAAATCTCTAAAAGAAATATAGATTTCCAATTTCCGTAAATTAAATAATAAGTAGGAGTACATTTTAGCGTGGATGAAGCCGTTGACAATTTGATATTCCCAGAAAAATACAAATGACAATCGGCGAATTTAACGACAGAGAAAACACTAATCATCAACAAAATGAAAAATCAATTCCTCACTGAACAAACAAATCTATTCTATTTCAATTCTATTAATTATCTGACTCAGATTCATTTCATTAATATTATCTTACTTAGTCATTGTCATCCATATCTTTCAAAACAAGAATATATATCCATTGATTGGCATTAATTTGTAACAGAAGATATTAACACAAGGTACAAATTTATGGATGCATAATTATTGAATTTATTACTAAGCGACGTTAGCCATTGCCATCCATATCTTTCAAAACAAGAATATATCTTCTTTGATTGGCATTTAGTAACTGAAGATATTAATTCAAGGTACAAATTTATGGATATACAATTATTAGATTTATTACTATGCGATGTTTCGACAAGGATACCGACATCTTTATCTAGCAAAAAATGAGAGTATCCTCGATCATCCTGGTCAGGCATCCCTCCCTACCCCCATTTCTTATCAGTATCCCACCCATCCCTCCCCCCATTTCTTACCAATTTTACAATCTAGTGATTCCTCACCCATCCCTACCCCCATTTCTTACCCCCCCCATCCCTATCCCTATTTATAACCACACCACTCATTCCTACCCCTATTTCTTACCAATCGTCGATCTGGTGACCCTCCACCCATCCCTACCCCCCATTTCTTACACACCACACCTCCGTCCCCCCATTTTTTTTTTACCAATTTTTCAATCTGGTGACCCCTACCTATCCCTCCCCCCATTTTTTACTAATTTTACAATCTGGTGACCCCATTTCTTACCAATTTTTCAATCTGGTGATCCCCTCACCCACCCCTACCTCATTTTTTACAACACCACCTGTCCCTCCCTAGCCCCATTTCTTACCAGTTTTACTATCTGGTGATCCCTCCTGTACCTTCTTCTTTTTATCAACATTTGTCCTAACCCCTGCTCCTTTCTTCCCTCCATCTTCTAGTGTTAGCAAATCCAAAAAACACAAAACTAGGTGTTAATAAGCTACTACTGTGACCAAACCAATTTAATTTTCACGCCTTTCATTTTTTTTTTCTTTAAATATTTGATTCATTGAAATTGAAAGGGATAGGGGAACAGGCATAGCTAGTGTATAAGACCTCTCTTCTTTGGGGATTTGATTAATAAATAGCGGAGGGAGGGAGAGAGAGAGAGAGAGAGAGAGAGAGAGAGAGAGAGAGAAATGGAGTTTAAGTCCACTCGACACAAATTAGGTCACTTTGGGACTAACACATGGTCCAACTTTATTTCAATAATTCGCAGGCACGTGGGGGTCTTTAGCAGTGGGAGGAAACCGTAGGACTCAGAGAAAACAGGCAACCCTACTCCTTGTCACGTACAACCGGGAAATCGAAAATCACGCCAGTTGACTCAATGACAGACCTTATGATACAGCGCGCACCTGCTAACCATTCGGCCATCCAAACCCTCCATAGTGTATAAGACCTCTCTCCTTTGGGGATTTAATTAATCAATACCCACTTGATTTCACTATTTTGCCTTATTACACTATTTTGCCTATACCGTTTTTATAGGACTTCGAATTTTGTCTAATGGTTTGGATTGTTCATACTTGGTTTTATTTTATTTATACTGAATCATCTGACTGATAACTGAGTCATTTACTTATACGACTGAGCAAACATCTAAATATACAATATGCTAAAATTAATCCACTTATATGGATATACTACTTCTGAATTTTATTATCATGCTACGTTTTGATAAACTTACAGATATCGTTATCCAGCTTGATAACAATACCTGTATGTGTATCGAAACGTAGCATGTTAATAAAATTTAGACGTAGTATATCCATATAAGTGGGTTAATTTTAGTGAAATCTATTTCTATGTTTTATAAGGATTATATACTCTTCAAAAAGGAGTGGGTCAGATTGCCCCAAATCATGATTGGACGGTTGATTAGGAGCATACCACGACGAATTGCTGAATGTCTAAGGATTGGTGGAGCAATTACTCATTATTAAGACAAAAATTAAAAACGTCCATTTTCACTTTTGACAGTGTATCTCTTTGCGAGTGAAATGGGGCCGTCAGATAAGCTGCCCATATGAACTGTTTATGTTCATGTGTAGGCAATTGGCCTGTTATTAACATACACTGGTTACCTCTAATAAAAACAGCAGTGCATTTCCGCAGTTTTGTATTGTTTCTGAATATCCTCTACTTTTTTGAAGAGTATACAATATGCTATATGCTTTTCTAACTACTGCGTACACTATTTTTTACAGCACTACATAGATAATACTATGACATGCAATGATTAAATTATATCATACTAATAGATATAGGAGAGAGAGAGAGAGAGCTCCACTCAACACAAACTAGGTCATTTTGGGACTAACATATGGTTCAATTTTATTTCATTAATTTGCTTGCTTGTGGGGGTCTTTTGCAGAGGGAGGAAACCGGAGAAAACCCACAAGGTTGGGCAGGTGACTCTACTCATAGTCTCGTACAAGCGAGGAATCGAAACCACGCCACTTGCCTAAATGACAGACCTTATGACCCAACGTGCACGCATTAACCATCAAACCCCTCGGGAGAATCGGGACCACGCCACTTGATTCTATGAATGACCTTGATTTAAGGTAAGTGGTATACTAACATTTGGTATATCATTTTAAATAACCCCATCTTACATCCACACCTGGATCAAATCATTGACTTAGCATAGATAACATAGCATATGATCTACAACGAATGAGTTCCTAGTCATTCTACTAACAGAGGCAAGTCGTTCTACTAACAGAGGCAAGTCGCAAGTCGTTCTACTAACAGAGGCAAGTCGTTCTACTAACAGAGGCAAGTCATTCTACTAACAGGGGCAAGTCATTCTACTAACAGAGACCAGTCATTCTACTAACAGAGGCAAGTCATTCTACTAATAGAGACAAGTCATTCTACTAACAGAGACAAGTCATTCTACTAACAGAGACAAGTCATTCTACTAACAGAGGCAAGTCATTCTACTAACAGAGGCAAGTCATTGCAAGTCATTCTACGAGGAGAGTATAAATGTGGTTTACCGTCCAGTTGACACAAACTAGGTCATTTTGGGACTAACATATTATGGTTCAAGTTTTTTCAATAATTTGCTAGCACATAGGCGTCTTTAGCAGTGGGAGGACACAGAGAAAACCCACAAGGTTGGATAGGCGACCCTACTCCTTGTCACATACAATCGAGGAATCGATAACAGACCTTATGATACAGTGCGCCGAGTTGCTAACCATTCGGCCATCCATCTCACCCCTTGAGGAGGTGCAACACACTTCTTTTTAGTACCCGAGGGAGGTACCCTTACAACTAATATGCATGGATTGAGGAGGAGGGAGGATTAACAATGGTCTATGCTATCTCATTCTGCCATAATAAGTATCAAATTAAACATGCATTATGCAAGAGCAAAATCTGCTTATTACAAGTCTTTATTTAGGCCTGATATGTTATCTAAATTATCAATTAGACATTAATTAACTTATCCAGACCATAAAAAACTCTCGATGTCAAGGCTAGCCTTTGATGTTGGCTGGATTAGATTCCTATATGCCGCTAACGGCCATTGATAATTAAATCCAAAAAAGTGGATAATCGAGACTATGCTGTCTATATTAATGATTTTAGTAATGATGACCGAGACTATGCAAAAATTTCACCCGCTTCTTTCTCGGCTCATAGTGGATCAATTTGACTGAAATTTTCAGCAAATTACCTTTACACTATCTAGTTTTTAACTATTATAGCGAGAACTGCCATCTCTTTATCTTATCTCCCATAATGTATCTTTAAAGATACTCAAGTTTAAATAATCAGGAACAATAAAGTAGTGTGGTTTCGATTCTCTGCTTGTACATGACAAAACTGTAATACTTTTTTTTCACATTCATTCAATATCAAATCTTTGACAATAGCGAAACAACTCGCACAAAGTGACTCACAGTAGCGAATAAACTCGCGGACCCATCATTCTTTGAAACGGCATTGGCGAACAAAAGCGCCAGATCAATCAACAGATTACTATTGTGTTTATTTCATATTTGTTTATATATAAAGTAGTGTAGTTTCGATTCTCTGCTTGTACATGACAAAACTGTAATCCGGGTATCATTTAAACTTGTGTATCTAGCAATAATTTGTTTCACATTCATTCAATATCAAATCTTTGTTTAAAATATCGTAAAAATCATTTAAAATCACCCCAAAACATATAATTTGTACTTGTGTCCAGTTTAAAGCTGACTGATTAATTTTGATAATGAGTGTTCAATTTACAAGTACATGTATTTAATTTCCTGACCACTGTTCAAAAATTAATCATTATACATCAATAATCAATTGGGTTGTTTATTTTTTAACAGTGAAATTAAATGCTTGTAAATTGGACACTCATTATGAAAATTGAATGGTCAGCTTTAAACTAGACACAAGTACAAATTAGATGATTTTTGGTGATAATAAATGATTTTTACAAATTTTTTAAGCAAAGATTTGATATTGAACGAATGTGAAAGAAATTAATGCTAAATACTCTCTCTCTCTCATTTAAATTAAAGGGCCCATGGCTCTATGCTTTGACGCCTTACAATAAACCAAAATGGTTTGAACTCACATACTTGTAATATGAATGCAGGGTCACGGTGGCTAAGTGGGTAAGATGCTGGTTCGCTAGCTTGGAGGTCGGGTGTTCGATCCCTGCATTGGCCCCTTTCTCAGTGATGCATGAGAGAGGGCCTGACAAGGACAGCTGTCTTAGTCGTTCGGATGGGATGAAAAACCGAGGTCCCGTGTACACATTGGCGTGCACATAAAAGATCCCTTGACAGCTGGAATTCGATATATTGGTAGGCCTGTGGCGCCGCTGTCTGGGCAAAATTTTCCTCGTAGCCCACTGTATGGCATGTGCCCATCTTCATTAGCCCAGTTCAGAGCAGAACAGTAGGATGTTAAACCCCATTTCATTTCATGTAATATGAATGTAAATCACATTATATACATTCAATTTTTAAAATGATTATGTTTGGTGAAATACATGAACCACTCCAAACTGAATGGCAGTCTTTCGCATCTGCTTAGTTCATCCTTATTATTTCTCTTTCTTCATTACAAATGGTACTGATTATAAAATGTTCATTGGATATTGGGATCCCATATTTTCACGGCAAGATAACAACATCAATATAGATTGAAATGGAACAACATTGAAATCTAATCTGTGTTTTTAATTTCGAATATAATGGACAATATTGTGTTATAGGTTAAGCTCATTGAACTGGGAATCTATCAAAACAGCTGAGCTGAAAACTCAGTGTCAATAGTCCATGATTTAAAGAAAGCCGTCTAAAACAGATTCACATTGAGACCAAATGAATCATGTTCTGTATATTACTGTTCAAGTCATTCCCTAGTGGATCTGATCATCCAAAATCCAAAATTTAAAGAGAACAGTTTGAAAACATTTCATAATTTGCCACACAAAAATAAATAATGTATTTTGCTTAACCCTTAACCGGTCGATGTCATTTTGACGTCATGACGTCAAGTGGTCAGACTAAATAAAGGCTGACGTGAAATATTTTGTATGCCTAATTCAATTGACTACTGCTGAATAATTATAAGTGATAGACTCTTGACACAAATAAAAAAGTTGAAGGGGATAAGTTAATCTATAATTTGCAAATCATTCTAAATCCTTTTCATCAGAAATATCGTCCTCAGAGTCGGTGTCATCGATATAATCCGAGTTGGAATAATTCATAAATATTTCAACCACTTCGAGCGTCTTTAACGTTCCTGACATTGTTAAATTATGTTTTTCGTCAAAAAATGCTGAACAAAGACATGTTTTTCTCAATGCCCTTGACAAGACAAGTTTCTGTCTGACATGCATGCCTGACCATATCAATTAAATATGGAACTAAATACTCAAATGCGGCTTATAAAAAAGGTTCTTGCTGTGGTAAAGTCGACTGTGACCACTTAGCTGTATAACGTTGTGGTGATTACAACAATGACCGGTTACAGGTTAAGTCATTCCTGAGCTGATCATCAACCTAAACAGGGGTGGATTGGTAGCTTTGGACATTCGTACCAACTAATTTACTTAGGTCCCTGTCGCTTTCACACAACCAACTCATAGATCATTTATCTCCTCGGAGTTCGGCAATTATATTTATGTCTAATATACTCTTCCATATGGTTTCGTTAAGATATTCAAGAGTAACTGTTCTTATAATCAACTGGTTTCGGGACTAACGTATGGTTCAATTTCATTTCAATTATTCAAAAAGGGGTCGTTAGCAGTGGGAAGAAACCTGGGAAAACCCACGAGATTGGAAGGCGACCCTACTCCTTGTCACGTACAACCGGGGAATCAAAACCCTACCAGTTGACTCAATGGCAGGCCGTATGATACAGCGCGCGCGTGCTAACCATTCGGCCATCCAACCCCCTGTTTTCCATAAAACACTTGAGTTTATCTTAATTATACCTTTCAGTGGACGTAATCTTTTTATATCTGAAATTGTTCACACCTGAAAACTAAGTCCTGTTTTGTGTTAGTAAGTAATTAGTAGTTGTGGTGTTAATAAGAATAAGAAGATTAATGTGCCAACACGAACACAACACGAACACACAACATGCAGTTAATACACTAAATATTGACATTTGCATACAGAATAATTTTCAGTATCAAGCATAGCAAGCATATTGCCAAGCAAAGACATTTAAAAACCAGTAATAATAAAGCCATTATTGCACTAATAATTACTGGTACTGATAATGGCATTATTGCAATCATAATAATATCGTCATTTATAAAGATCGTTAAATACTGAAGACCAGTTTCTAAGCAGATGTTGGTTGTTATATTCACTGATTATTTACAGATCAGGGTTTTGAGATAAGAACGTTTTGAGCTGTGATTTAAAATGGCCCACTGACATTTATTCTTTCAATACTTTAACTATGTTTCAAACATTTCATTTTACTAGAATATAATTTCCATATTTGTTCAGTTTTATCCTATTTTACACAAATCTCTTAAGATAAGGTTAAAGTTTAAGCAGGGGTGAGATGTACTCCTTTTCTAGGAAAACCCTTAAATTGTTTTACTCATTTTACATAAAAAAAATGTGGATAAACTGCAGCATCCCCCCCCACACCCACATTTCTCTAGGTAAAAGTGTAAACATGGGTAAAACACTTTCATTTACCAAATACCTCACTTTCATGCATATCTAGATTTTATCTATATAACTATATATAACGCTAGCTCTCATGTCAAAAGGTAACACCTTGTAACTCATGTTTTTCTTATTTTGAGAAAACAATGGAAAACGTAATGAATGAATATTAAAATCCAGCTTATCCATTGATTTGACTATTGAGTTACTAGGTTTTTCTGTGGCATACTAGGCAAATGAAGGAAGTTTCTAGGTTGCGTCATGGGTGTAATTGCTTACAAAATGAAAAGATCGAATATACACTAGTAACTACAAATTTGGTCCTAATCTTGATAAAAAAAGTGAGTTACTAGGTGTTGCCTTTTGACGGGAGCTGCTTGAAAGTTTAAAGATACATACACTGTAACTTGGGTATCATTTAATCTTGTGTATCTAGCACTAATTTCTTTCTCATTCATTCAATATCAAATCTTTGTTTAAAAATTTATAAAAATCAATTATACATCAATAATTGTTGATTGTTGATTTTTGAACTGTGATCGAGAAATTAAATACTTGTAAACTGGACACTCATTATCAAAATTGAATGGTCAGAATTAAACTGGATACAAGTACAAATTAGATGATTTTTGGTGATTTTAAACGATTTTTACAAGATTTTAAACAAAGATTTGATATTGAATAAATGTGAAAGAAATTAGTGCTAAATACACAAGATTAAATGATACCTGGGTTACAGTGATATCATCATGCTTAAATATCATGCATATATTTCACTATTATGCTTAAAGCACAACGAAATAAACTTTATTACCATCAATACACTGGCGGTCTCTATATGGCTGATGTTGGCATCCATTGCCTAAATCAGTGAGACCATTTCTATCTTTAAATACAAGCGCTTCACCATTACTGATGGATGTCATGCCACCACCCGCCTTATAGCGAAACAGTGTGTCTTAAGTTCTGGTGTCCTATTTACAGTTGTGCTTTAAGCAAACTAAATCTACTATCATATGATGATTATCATGCCCCATTTGAAAACAATGAGTAAATGTATGCTACATCATATTTGCTTTCCATGATTTGGCAAACTCTACTGCAAAAGATCGGCTTCAAGACCAGATGTGGGAAATACACATTTTCTGACAGCTTTCTGTTAATATTCATGATCAACATGTAACGAAAATATTTTTCATTGGAACTGAAAAGCAAATATGTGATTCGACATTTATTCATTATTGTCAAATAGTTTTGCGACAAGTACCTCGAACACCTGTAGTCATTGGTCGCTGTTTTCTTTGTGGTGATCTGACAGTCTCTCTTTGTAAAAGTCGCTTCTGGGAAGATGACGAAGAAGAATGTCGAGATCTTTCACTACCGGTCTCGGGACCACGTTGACTTTGCTTGATCTTTGGTGGAGGTTCCGTTTTTTCCCTTTTCAAGGGTTGAGGTTGTGAGGATGGTCTGTGGACTTCCCGCGGTCTACTCCTTACTGTTGCTTTAGACTGCTCTTGTTTGGGTTGGACAGCAGCTGGTGCTGCACGTGAGCTTCTCACTGACGATTTTCTTGGAGTTGTGGTTGATTTTTCAGAGGCTCTTGAACCTCTGCGCATTGGTTCTTTGTAAATATTTTGTTGTGATTTTAGGGGCTTGGGCTTTTCTTCTTGGATGCTTTTCTCCTCCTCCTTAATTTCAGTCTTCTCAACTTTTTCTGTAGACTTTGCTGTGCAATCTTCTTTAGATTCTGGCGTTGAGGCTTCACCTCTTTTCAAAATATCCTCTGAGGATTCTTTCTGATTCTTATCCTTTCCCCGCACTTCATCCTCATCAATTTCTGTTGTTTGAATTATTTTTTGCTCAGTTTCCATTGAAGGCTCTGGAGACTTTGTAGGCTCTGGTGTCGGATCTCGTACTGGAGTAGGATGTCTGTCTTGACCTCTCTCATCATGTTCTTCAACTTTTCGAGAATGTTTTTCAAACATCTTTTTCGTAAAGTCCTCTTTTTCTTCCCCTTCATTTTTTTGAATTTGTTTTGGTTTTGTTGGTTTCTGTTCAGTTTCTGTCTGAGAACCCATAGAAGTCTTTTCTGCACCGTCTTTTTCAGCGGCTTTCAACCTTTCTCTCTCAGTTTCTTCTACCTTCTCTCTTTCTGCCACTTGAGACTTTTCTCGTTCTTCAATTTCTGCTTTCTCTCTTTCTGCAGCTTCGGCCTTCTCTTTTTCAGAAGCTTCAGCCTTTTCCCGTTCTGCAGCTTCTTTCTCTTTTTCTGCAGCTTCGATCTTTTCCCTCTCTGCAGCTTCTATCTTTTCCCTCTCTGCAGCTTCAGTCTTTTCCTTCTCTGCAGCTTCAATCATTTCCCTCTCTGCAGCTTCAGCCTTTTCCTTCTCTTCAGCGTCAACCTTTTCCCTCTCTGCAGTTTCAGCCTTTTCCCTCTCTGCAGCTTCAGCCCTTTCCCTCTCTGCAGCTTCAGCCTTTTCCTTTTCTGCTGCTTCTGCCTTATTCTTTTCTTCTACCTCAGCCTTTTCTTTTTCTTCTGCTTCCCTCTTTGCTTTTTCTGATTCATTTTTATTTGAGGCCTCAATATCATTAGTTCCTTCTGCATCATCTTCCCATATATAGGGACGCTCGATTAATTCTATTTCTCCTTGGTTATTTTCCTCATTCAGTTTGCTTACAGTTTGTTCTTCAGTGTCATTATTTTCTGGTTTACCATCCTCATTAGAATTCTTAATTGTATCTTCTTCATCTTTCTGTTGATATGTGGTGGAAATAGGAGGTTGACCAGCAGGAAGATTGTCATTATTCTCAAAATTAGAAATTGCACCAGTTGTGTCAGAATGAGGATCTTCATGGTCATCTGTTTTGTGGTTGTCTTGATAACTGCCAATAGAGTCGTCATTATGAGACTCCTCTGAATGTTGAGGACTTTGAGAATAATCTACAGAGTCGTGCTGTGGACTATTTTCAGTATCCTTTTCTGTGGTTGGATCACACTCACTTGAATGTTGAGGACTTTCTTTTGATAAATCCTTTTCAGTTTCTACTTCCTGCTCTTCAACTTTGGATCCAACTTCCTCTTCATCACTGTCCCTTGTATCTAAATCTTTAGTAGGTGTTGGAGATAATGGTTTTACTACGGCTACATTAGTTTGATCACTTTGCTCATTTTCTTCAACTTCCTCCTTCTGGGAGTCTTCTTCTTTACGGTTTGGAATGACTGATTCTTCTTTTTGTTCATTGGTTGAGCTTGTGCATAATCCATCATCATCAGCCTGTTCATCATGGTGAGTGGTTACATTTTTCTGATTTTCTATTGAAGAAGAATTTTCGTTGTCATAAACATGCGTATCTTCAGCATAAGGAGTCTCATTTTCATGTTTTGATGAGTTACCATCAACATGATCAGGTTCTTTGTCTTGTTGTTCATCAACCTGGGAATCCTCTAAATGAGGTGAAGCTTCTTCCTGTTGTTCTTTTGAGGAAGATGCACTGTCATCAACATGTACACTCTCGGACTGATGTGCGGCTTGTTCCTGATCTTCATCCTTTTCTTTTGGTTCATGGGAAGAAGATTCACTCTCATCAACCTGAATATCGTCTGCGGTTTGAGGCTTCTCCTCATGATTATGGGCAACACCTTCGTCATCATGACTCCCTTCATCCTCATGATGTTCCTTGTTATCGTCCTTGGTAACTTTTGGTGGGGTTTCATCTCCATGTGTTTTTGTAGCATCTTCTGAATCATTACTTGATTCTGGAGGATTGGTTGCTTTGGTCTCATCTATATTATCACCAGATTCTTCTGTGTCTGGGGAAATTACTAATGTTGTCACATCAGAATCATGTTCTTTGGTAATTGCAGAGGTAGTAGTGTCTTCCTTATTGGACTCTGTTGTTTCATTCCTTTCTTTGTCAGAAGATTTTGACTCTTCGCTAGATTCTTTTAAAGAATTTCGGGCATCTAATTCCTCAAAATCCGAATCTTCCCTTACATCAGTTACCTTTGATTGCCCTTTTTCTGGTGTGGAGGAAAGGGTTGTATTGCCTTCCTCGGCAACACCTTGATCAATCTTAACAGAAGTTTCATCCTGAGTAGTTTCGCTTTCTATATTCTTAGATTCATTTTCAGGAGATTCTGTTGAAGTATTATTTTCATTGCTTTCAGCAGCCGAGGTAGGATTTTCATTGATTTTATCTAGATCATTTTCAGTCTCTGATGGTTTTCCCTGCTCTTCATGTTGATCAGAAACATCGTCATTTTTAATTTCGCTTTCTTGATCATTATGTTTTTCGGGCACATTTTCATCCTCAGAATTTTTTTCGTTGCTTTTATCACCTACATTATCAATATTATGATCGACACTTTGTTCAGGATCATCCTTAGAATTTACTGTCAAATTATGCGTGTTTGGATTTGAAACATCTCCATTTTGACTTTCATCCTTTTGGCTCTGAATATCATTATCACTATTATGGGTACCGATTTTCATATTGTCAGTTTTGTCACTACTGATCAGTTTGTCACTCTCGGAGTTATCCAACTTGTCAGAGTTATCCAACTTGTTGGATTTGTCAGAGTTATCCAACTTGTTGGAGTTATCCAACTTGTCGGAGTTATCCAACTTAAGGACACTGACGTCTCCATTGTGATTTACTGTCTCCATTTTGGTTGTTTCTGAGCAATCGTTTTTAAATTAAAGTTCAAATTGCTTGTGTTTAAAATTATTGACAAAAAGAATTGAAAACTTTTTAATCGGGGTGCATGCGAAGCCACAACACTCTGTGTCCTTACTTACCGGTTTTTTTTTTATGCGCGTAAAACTGCACGTGCGTGCACACTGAAAATCGTTCTCACCCTTCCTTTTATGTATAATCCCAGACTTCTCTCTCTAAAGACTAATGTCCTGAACTGCTAAAGAGTGCAAAAAAAAGAACAGCCAACAGTTAGACACAAGACACAATTTTTGTTAGATTTTTTGTTATTGGTTGGTATTAATTCCTGTTGCCTAGCAACCTCTGTCAACAAACTAATCAAGCCTAAGACAAACTTGGGTTATTTTTGGAAGACCATTGTTAATTAATTATTATCATACACTAGACCTAATAAATGAATTTCCGCCAAGCTAATTCGAAGACAAATGAGAGAGAGAGAGAGAGAGAGAGAGGGAGAGAGAGAGAGAGAGAGGGAGAGAGAGACTAGAGAGAGAGAGAGAGAGGGAGAGAGAGACTAGAGAGAGAGAGAGAGAGGGAGAGAGAGACTAGAGAGAGAGAGAGACTAGAGAGAGAGAGAGAGAGAGAGAGAGAGAGAGAGACTAGAGAGAGAGAGAGAGAGAGAGACTAGAGAGAGAGAGAGAGAGAGAGGGGGAGAGAGAGAGAGAGAGAGAGAGAGAGAGGGGGAGAGGGAGAGAGAGAGAGAGAGAGGGAGAGAGAGAGAGAGAGAGAGAGGGAGAGAGAGAGAGAGAGAGAGGAAATTGGAATAACCTAGGAAATATATAGGATTAAAACATGATGATTATTTAAGTGTAAAATTATACAGGAGAGAGAGAGAGAGAGAGAGAGAGGGAGAGAGAGAGAGAGAGAGAGAGAGAGAGAGGAAATTGGAATAACCTAGGAAATATATAGGATTAAAACATGATGATTATTTAAGTGTAAAATTATACAGGAGAGAGAGAGAGAGAGAGAGACTAGAGAGAGAGAGAGAGAGAGGCTAGAGAGAGAGACTAGAGAGAGAGACTAGAGAGAGAGGCTAGAGAGAGAAAGAGAGAGAGAGACGAGAGAGACTAGAGAGACTAGAGGGAGAGACTAGAGAGAGAGAGAGAGAGAGAGAGACTAGAGAGACTAGAGAGAGAGGCTAGAGAGAGAGAGAGAGAGAGAGAGACTAGAGAGACTAGAGAAAGAGAGAGACTAGAGAGAGAGAGAGGTCATTTTGGGATTAACATATGGTTCAATTTTATTTCAACAATTCGCTTGCATGAAGGGGTATTTAGCAGTGGGAGGAAACCAGAGGATTCAGAGAAAACCCACGAGGATGGACAGGCGACCCTACTCGGTGTCTGTAAAATTAAAAGAAAAGCTACAGATTTGTGTCATAGAAAATAAAAAAAACAAAAACACTGGAAATTGTGGTTACACTTTTGAAAACGTTTAAAATTTATAATTACTTGCAGAAAAGATGCTGCAGATGTTATCAGAATTCTGGTTTGAAATTTACCGTAACTTTTTGAAAAATTTGAAACTTGGCATAATCCAAAAATTAAATTTTTTTATTAAAAACATTCTTAAAAAGCAATTTTCTAATTAGGGAAAACACAACTATGGATGTTGCTGTCCTTAAATTTTTAACAATTTCAAAATATATTTGAGGCCAAGCACTTTGAAATTGCACATAGATAAAAAATTTTCAGGAAACAAGTAATCTATAAGTGGCATTTAGCGATTGGAAAACACATTAACAGAACACAGTTTTTATGGTAAACAATCACTGGTTTTATTCTGAAAGCACGACGTTTCGACAAGTATCCTTTTATTGTTTTCAAGCACAATTATATATTGAAATCATGTTTACTAAATGTAATTGCGCTTGATAACGATAAGAGGATACTTGTTGGAAATTTGCGTGCTTTTAGAATAAAACCAGTGATTGTTTCCCATAAAAATTGTGTTTTAGAAAAGAAGTTTTTGTTTTCTGTCATTCTCCTAATTATTTGCATATCTGCACATAGTTATGAATTTTATACACCTTTACTTGCTGTCATGCTATTTTATTTTATCTGTTAATAGGTCGACGCGTAGGTTTATCTCAAGTGCAATACACCCTTAATCGCTATTATGTTATTTTATCTTATCTGTTAATTGGTCAACGTGTAGGTTTATCTAAGTGCAAACTTTTTCATATCCTTTTAATGTCAATCAATTTAAATCAACCTACATCATTTTTAAATGTTTAAAGAAGCATTATGTAAGAGAAAATCTGTCTATTGCAGGTCTTTATTTTGGCTTCAAACTTTCCAACCAAGACCGTGTCTCAATTATCATTTTAAATTGTTCAAATCTCACAGGTGTTCAAATCTCCCAGGTGTTCAAATCCCACAGGTGTTCAAATCCATTTAAAACTCTGCCATCCGATTGTCTAGAGAGTTGATTATGGGTTTGTCAGGTGAATAGAGAGAGAGAGAGGGTTTAACATCCACTCGAAACAAACTAGACATGATTCAATTTTATTTCATTAATTCGCTTGCACGTAGGGGTCTTTAGCAGTGGGAGGAAACCGGAGGACCTGGAGAAAACCCACGAGGTTGGACAGGCGACCCTACTCCTTGTCGCGTAACCGGGGAATCGAAACCCCACCAGTTGACTCAATGACAGACCTTATGATACAGCGCGCACATGCTAACCATTCGGCCATCCAAATTATATAATAATTTATATAATATTTGAAGCCAAAATAAAAATTTAGCTTCTACATAATGCATCTTTAAAATATCTAATATAGTTTTATTACATCCTTTAAAAAATGAGCACAAAATGTCGCTTATTAAACATATATTATGCAAGAGCTAAATCTGCCTTTTGCAAGTCTTTATTTAGGCTTCGGATGTTATAGAAATTATTAATTAGATCTTTATTTAGGCTTCGGATGTCAAAGAAAATATTAATTAGACCTTTATTTACACAACAAGCTCAAAATCAACTCTGTAGACCCACGGATGGCATGGATACAGTTTGGATTTAAATCAATAATATGGTTTTATTAGGTCCTTTAAACAAAGAGCACAAACTGTTGTTTATTTAACATGATGGTATTATTGATCAAAGTTTAAGTTCTATCACGATTTTATTATTTGGTAGAAAGAAAAAACAGTGGATGCGCTATATGTGAGATTAAAATAATATTAGAAATATTCTTGGAATGACATTGATTTTTCTAGCATCAAGAAATAAATTCAACTTGAGGACAGGTGAGTAAAAAGAATAGATATATCTGAATATATTAAAAACATGGTGGAAATATTGAATAGAATGATGATGATGATGACGATGATGATGATGATGACGACGATGACGATTGAGATGAATAGAATGATGATTGTTGATGACGATGCATACAGATGCTGTTGCTGCATACAAATGATGATGATGATGATGATGATGCATAAACATGAAGATAGTGAAGATGCATTCAGATGAAAATGATGATATGAAAATAACAAAGATGGTGACGATAATGATGATGATGAATAAACACGATGGAGATGAAAATAATGATGGTGATGATGATGATGATGATGATAAAGAAGATGATGATTTCAAAAAGAATGTACTTCAGTATTCTCAAATAAATCTCTTGTCCAGTAAGCTCCATAATAATTTCATAATTGAACAGACAAGTCAATATTCTACAACCAGACCTTGAAACTGAAACCATTATTATTATACTGAGTGATGTCTTTTTGTCTTGGTATAAATCCATTAATCAGAATTAAGGTTGTCTTATTATCACTAATTAATGGTGCTAATTACTGGATATTAGCAGATCATTTCTCAACCTTTCCTCATCCTCATTAACACCCAGAACTATTTCAAGAATAATAGGCAAGTTTGTTTTTCTTGACAAAAACTAGGTCTATCGGGACTAACATATGGTTCAATTTTATTTCAATAATTCGTTTGTGCCTAGCAGTGGGAGGAAATCAGTTTTTTCTAGGGTTTTACTTCTTTTGTAAATGAGAGAGAGAGAGAGAGACAGAGGAGAGAGAGAGAGAGAGAGAAAGAGAGAGAGAGAGAGCGAGAGTTAAACATCCACTTGACACAAACTAGATCATTTCGGGACTTTAATATAGTTCAATTTTATTTAAATAATTCGCTTGCACAAGGGGTCTTTAGCAGTGGGAGGAAACCGGAGGACCCGGAGAAAACCCACGAGGTTGCACAGGTGCCCCTACTCCTTGTCATGTATAACCGGGGAACTGAAGAATAAAGGATAAGGCTTTGAATATAGTTTGATGATTGTAAACCAACTTTTGATTCGGAAAAAAACCCCAAATGAATGGTGACAATAAAATGATTTGAGAAAGATGGAAAAAATTGTCTGTTCATTCAGTATACAGTTTATGCCCCTCATTTTACATAAAAAATAACTTTGTTAGTCTCAAATTTAACCCTATAAATACAGAGGTGATGTTAATCTGCCAGGTTACATTTCATTCTTAACATTTTGTTGACAGAGGTTTCTAAGAATAATTATTTTTAAAATAAAAACATCCCTTTTGTCAATTATGAACTAATCCATTTGTTAGATAACATTATGTTGATTAGAAAAGTTCATTATTCACTATGGGTGTTTAAAATTTTGATTAGTGTTCTTTTATTAATTTTCAATTAAACATATAATAATTTTAAAAATCGAGGCATTTTTACTCATCAGATAAAACAACCAATGCAAAATAATAATTATAAGAATTAATGTTTTCTTTAGTGAAATTAATTCAAAATAAATTTAAGTACTTTTCGGAACATTAGGCGCACATATT